CCTAGGTATATCATTGAACTAATTAACATCAAGCCTAGGTCTGTATATAATCTTAGATCAAATCAAAGTTTATTACTTGACCCTCCTAAGGGGAAAATGCTTGCCACATTGGGGGACAGATCATTCTCTGCTGCTGCCCCGTACTTATGGAATGCTCTGCTAGCTGAATTACATGATGTTCAATCATTTTCCATTTTTAAATGTAAGCTGAAAACTTATTTATTTCATGCAGCTTTCTCAAAGTACCCTGTCTGACAATTACTTTTATTAGTATTACTAATTAAATTCCTTATTAAGATCCTTATTCCTAATTAAGATCCTTATTATGGATATTCCATATTATTCTTATTTTTAACATACATTGTTAATATTAAAGTACATGTGATTAGTTTTATAAATTTGAATTTACTGTAGTATTCTAAGTTGTTAAGTGCTGTTGATCATTGAATGAAAATAGCGCTCTAGAAGTTATTAAATTAAATTAAATTATATTATACATCAGCAAGAACTGAAGCATGTTGTCTTATTTTATAAGGGCTGATTGATTTGCTTTTTTATTTACTCTACCCTAGTATCATCATTTGAATGAGTCATCCTAAAGCCTCATGACTTTATTTCCCACTGTGCTCCCTTTTACTGCAAATAGGGCAAACTTTTTATAGACTTTCTCAACGACAGATCACATAAATAGTTGAGGAAAGGTTACTGTTCCTTTCTATCATTAGGGAGGAATGCTACAGGGGATGCATGGTCCTGGGCCTTATTTGTTTTCCTTAATAATAATTGGCATAAAGAGAGTCTCTCTGTCTACCTGTACTTTTGTTCAATATTCAGATGATCTATCTTACTTTAAGGATTCTGTTGAAATTCATCATGGATAACTCTAATATTTAAGTAAGAAATATTACCAAGTGGGCAGAAGGTTAATAATTTAAAGAAATCTTGGAAGATGTAACATGCGTAAACTTTAGGCATTAGACCAAATTTAGATCTGGCTACAAGGGGTCTTCAGTTCTCCTTGCAGTTCTGCACTGTACTTTGACTTGATGTATGCCCCCTGCCATTACAGAAACGATTGATGCTATAATGTTGGATGGGTGCGGGAGAAAGTAATGCATGGAGACCTGCCCTCAACCCAACTCTCTAAACATATGTAAACTTTATGATGTTCAATATATTTGAACACTGTCTTTAGAATGGTATCATGACTGCCTAGGTTATAATTATGTGTCCATAAGATTAATTAGCTCAGCCACTCAAGTTTTCTAACCACATTGAATTATTCTGAATTACAGACACAACTCCTCAAGGGATCCTCAAGGCACACCAGGTTTGTTGATAAGCTATTGAATTAGAATAGTAACTAGCACAGTTACAACTCTGTTGTGGCTACAGTAGAACCCCACTAACTTGTCTTATTTAGAATTACTCCAGTCGGAAATTGTCAAGGCATGGAATGGACATAGTACCACTGAGTTTTTAGAAGTGTCTCATTGTAACAAGAACAAGATATTGAATCTCTTGCTCTACCTGAGATGAACTATATATTAATGACAACTTATCACTTGCAATATGATCATTCACTTTGCCTTTTACACATATTGTGATCACACCTGTATGTCAAGAGCTTGATGATGTATGCACTGTCAGTAGTTATAGTAATATCTTCATGGATTAATAACCATATTGAAAAGATATGGCAGGGCATAGTTAGTAGGCAGGGTAACTATGGGCAGGGTACTCCTCAAATTATTTCTTTAAAAATATGATATATCTTGCTAAAATATAGTGATTGAAAAATTATGTAGTTATTACCCGGTATTTTACTTTTAAGACAATCAAATGGATTGAAAAGGGAATACCTTAAAAGAAGTTGGATACTTGTAAGTTTTGAGATGAAACTCTGAAACATCCAGGTTCAATTTCCCTCCAGATTAAAACTGCCTTCTTTACACCACCAATCCTATCTGAAACTATCCAGCAACTCATTTTACGTTATCTTCTTCTAACTGATGAGGTGAGTTAACAATTAGATATCCATAGAAGCATCCAAGATGGCAAGAAGTGGAACTTATTCATTTTTATTTGTACACTAGCACACCATTGCAAAGAAAAATACACTGCTTGAATTTAAGAGGGAAAATGTTTACTATATTTTTTAACACAATCAAACTATAGAGAAATAACTATCTGTGTAGCTTAATGAATGAAATAAAAGTTTGCTCTTCCTAAAAGTTTTATACAAATGTTCAAAAGAAAATTTGCTTAATTCCTCAATTCTCATTTAAAACAAAAATCTTAGTGAATATGTGATTTTTTGTTTCATGGAGAGAAGAAAACAGGCTACACTAAACTGTTGTTGACAGAATTAAGCACTTGGTTAAATTATAAAATAACATCACTGACAATGATTTGGTCTTATGTCCCACACCGTCAGCCTTTCTTAAGTCTCCATTTGTTTAGAATTGGCAGTTACCAAGTTCCCAAAATGGATTATGATGATACAGGCTTCTTGAGTTTACAGAAGATGATTTAAAATCTGATGACATAATTATAACAGCAGCCATGTTTTTATTGTCTTTTTTTCTTTTGGATTTAGACAAGCTAAAATGTATTTGGTGCTTTGTACAATTTTGATCTCAGTCTTCACCCTGTTTGACTTAAAGTTCAAGCTTTTTGTAATTCAGTTTCCTTTTATTACCTTCAGTGGCTGTTTAAAAATATTCAGTGATAAATTTGAAGAAGTTTCACATTTGTTGCACTCTCCTTTTCATACTTTCAACAAGGCATTTCTTAGGGTTCTGTAATCATTGGGATGCCTTAATGAAATTTGGCAGGTCATTCTTTCTTTGTACTTAAACACAGTACAATACACATGCCCGGTAGGTCCATTTATAGCTATGAAAAATGGATATTGCTTGAGAATAAATTTTATCATGCATAAAACTGTCTAAAGTGATTTTAAAAAGTTAAGTAATAACAGTAATATTGTTTAATAAGCTGGCTTACATGCATGTCTGATTGTTTCTTACTTATGATCTGTTGGAGGACAGATGTATAGATGATGTCACCATCAGCAATATTTTGCATCATATACAAAACAAATAGATTCCAATGTTCCCATGGATCTGTTCAGTGATAGAATGTCATGACTTCAAAATGTGATAGAACATAGGTGACACACTCGGCTGGGCCTTGTCTGTCATTTTTTTGTGCTCACTACATTTTGACATCATCTGTGATGGAAATTTATTGTTGTTGAACAGATGCTCCTTGGCATAACATGGAGTCCATTTAATACCTTCAATAGTCAATTCAAAAGGCTACAGAAAATGTTAGTCCTAAAGGGGTTAAAAAAATTGACACATATTATAGATAAAATCCCAAAGATTACCTTTCCAGGCAATACATATCAATTGACCAAGATGTATTTGGGGTAACAGCTGTTCCATAACTGATGAAAAGTATAGATGTTAAATATCTTATGAACACGTAGAGCTCTTTTATACAACGCATTGCGATTATCACAATTTTTAATTTACTTTCTTTTGTTTATATAGAAAGAGATACATTGTGATATGGACCTTAAGTTTTTGATTTACATTGTAGGATTTGCAAAGTTGGGAGCAGGACCCTGAAAATTTTGGTAAGGCATGGATGCCTTTACTTCAAACTTTCAGTTCATGCTGAATGTTTTGTCAGTTATTGATAAAGCATACTTATTTATAGAGATGTTTAATTATCATTATTTCTCATTGTTACAGTTGCTCAAGAAGCTGGTGAATCATGGCGTTATAATCTAAGGGTATGTTGCTTTTTGAAAGGTAAAAAATCTCAGTGTAAGTAATTAATCTACTGTAAATTTGCATCAATGAATTGATGAATACAGGTTATTGTGTTGGTTATAAATCATGACTGTTTGTAAAGTAGTGATTCTGTAATGGGAGCAGGTGCAAGTTCTGTCGACTGAAGATGAAAAATGTTCAACAAAACATGGGAATTTTTCATATCTCCTCAAAGTTGAAAACACATGGTCTCAATTCATTTTAAGACAAAACATGTTTCCTTGAAAATGGTTCAGAAACAAATTCAATTGCATTGTTTGAATGTCATTGGGCAATATCAGATAAATGCTGGTACATCATGCAACAATTTAAATTGAGGTACTAAAGGGATTTTCTCTGCACCAAGTAAATGGTGTAATTGACGTTTCTGCAGCAGTTCTGGTAGATCTAGTAGCAAGCTCTTTTATGGAACTGTTTCTGTTTTTGGTATAGCAAGTGTGTTTGCTGTGGTTTGTGTAGTTGATGGAGTTGGTGCAGTTGGTCTGGTTTGTTGATGTTCCAGTAGTTGGTGTAATATGTGGACATTTGCTTGTGGCTTTTTCATTTCACTTCTGATTCTCTTATTGTGGCTATCTCAAAGAACTCTAGATTTAAAGAAATTCTTGCTATTTGAAATTATAATTATTTGAAGATCTACCACAAAGAAGTTCTTGTGATTGCCTAGACTCAAGCGTAAATAACCCTGATCAGCATCAAGGGTTTATGGCCAAGTAACCCTGAATTCATCTTACCTGAAACTGGAGTCATGTCACCCAAAACTTTTAGTCAAAATTAATGTACATTGTTGTTCATGTATTAACCCATTAACGTCCAGTGCGCCCGTATGCGCCCATGGGGACCCACACCCTTTCTACGCCCTGTGACGTCATCAATTTTAGCTCTGGAGCACGAATTCGAGCATGTACTTGAACGGGTTGAAAATATCTTGCAGACCATACCAGAATGAGCGCAATTGAGGGGAGGAGATTGGAGAAATAGCCAAAAAACCGTGTCACTTTGACTGGAAAATCTGCAGGAAGATCGTGTTTCACTACCCACCTACCTTTCCGAGCATGTGCTTTGAAAATAATGAGTAGTTTCTGAAAAATCTCTACACCAAAATGAAGC